ATTACATGTCCAGTGTCCATCCTCCTTTGCTTCCTCTTCTGGTGTGGAACACTCAATTATAGGGGAGAAAATAGGGATGAGGGGCCTCTCTCTTAAAACCCCRGAGGATAAGAGGCTTGATAACTGCTGGAAATGAGGCAGGTGTGTCTGAAACAGAGAAAATTACCAAAGAGTGCTGCATACATTATGTCTTCATTTATGTTAATGTAAAAGTGTGAAACCCACCAGTTAAACAGCAATCAAGAAGGAAATTAGAACAAAGAGAAAAATCAATGAACACATTTCATTGAGCAATCCAGGACTGAGGTGTTCAAGAGCTCAGCCTACAGACACATCTGTCATGCCATCATGGGACATAAATTGCATGTCATAACTTCCGTTTTGGCCACAGCTGTGAACTAGAATCTATTTCCATGCAGTGTTAGCTCCCTGCCTAAGACTGTGTTTTTAGTCTCATTAACAACTTGCTCCAGTGAACTCTATCAGACTGGGTTTTCTTTGCATGTGTGTTACTCTTACTGCATCCTCCCGTATAAAATGATAAGTATGTTGACTGAATAAGTGAACAAGGTATGTCACTTTTCACCTTCTTACACGAGAGCTCAGAATGTGCCTGCTACATGGAAGAATGGCTTCTTTCCTGTAGAGGTGACTTCCAAGGAGACAGGACTAGAGTAATACATCATTTGATATCATAAAATTTCTCACTCGAAATTTCCTAAGTAAACAAGTGGGATTTCTACTCTTGAAGGTTAATTTTCTTGAGTACTCAAAAGAGCAAAACAACACTATATTCCATAAGCCAATAGGTTTAAAGATTGATGTGCATATAATTATAAAGAATCATAGAAGGCATTAACTTTTAAAGTAAGTTTTCCCTGATCTCAGCTTCCACAGAAACATCTTTAACTGAGCTTTAACTCCGTTGACAATAGTTTATACCTGGGGTTAAGAGAAGAAGGAAACCTGAGTTAGAATGACTTAGGACAAACATCCCCAGTGAAGGAGAGCCTGATTTGTTTGTGTCAGGGCACCCTAAGAGAGTTCAGGGGATTTGCTAYTTGTAGGTTTCTGGTTTCACACCTGCAGATGCTGTACAGAGGACCTGGTTCCAAGCCTTCAATGGGGAATCTTCAAGTTGCTCTATTTCAAGATTCCAGAACAGATTTTCATTCCTTCTCAGATTAGTTGTCTGCCACAAAGAATCTCAGCTTTACTGCCCAGAACTTTTGAATTACTTAGGGGAAAAAAAAAAGTCTCCAAAGGTTTTATTAAGTTCATGTCAGAACTTTGGAGGGCTATGGGAGTAGGTTGGTTATAGAGCACTTGCCCAGCTTGGGCTCCTCCTTAGCACTACCAACAAAAAAGGGGAGAAGGGGGAATTCTGAAATGCCTTTTTATTTGCAGACATGAAGCTCTGCCTAGAGCACTTTGTGTAAGTTCTCAGAATTCAAATCAACCCCACTATTTGAGCTGATGGAGAAATTCCTACTAGCCGAAGTTTATTCCAGCCACCAATTCTCTTCCCCGCTTTTGATTCTCTTCTCCATCCTCCATAACTCCCTCCATTCCATTTTTGCCTCTCTAGAATTGTAAACAAAAGCAAAATCAACATGAATAGTTTGGTTTCTTTTTAACTTTTCTAGATGATCATAAACACATAGAAAAATTTGCTATTTTGTTTCTAAAACACAGGCTAATATCATCCTATGTCATTTCTTTTCTAAAGTTCTCATGAATTTTCCCCAAAATGCTAGACATATATCCCCAACTATTTTAATTGTTAACTACATGATATTTTCTAGAAAGGATTTATCATTATTTCAACTTTTCACCAAGAAATATTCTTAAGGTTTTTTTTGTTTTGTTTTGGCTATCCCAAACAAATATTTATATAAATGTCCAGATAGATTGAAAAAAAAAAAAAAAACTTGTGTCCTAAGTCACCCATTTYTATAGAACAATCATCCAAGCATGACCAGACGAAATGCTGTTACTAGGCACTTAAAATGTCAACTCACAGACAGGGATCATTAAAGGAATTCACATTCTCATTTGGAATGGAAAGAATCTTTGTTTCCCTAAACCTTTGTAGCAAACACCATAATACTATTTTAAAAAAAATTGCCCACATGGTGGATTAAAAAAGAAATAGTTTCACTTAAAATTTAATGTCCTAATGAGAATATTCAAGTGAAAAAATCATTTCCATATATCCATTTCTTGTTTGCATTTTTCTTCTATAAACCCATGCTCATATCCTCTGCCTAGATACCTATTCTTTTTATTTCTCATCAACTTCATGAAGTCTCATTAATTTTAGCAACATGCACATGGCCTGCATTCTCTCTAGGCTTATATTTCTACTCTTTTGTTTAATTTTGTCTTGCTATTATCACTATTATACACACTGCAGTATGCATCTACCATTTATAGATGGCTTCAGAGCTTCCTGAAGTATTCAAAGCCTCTCTGCCATTAATTTATGCATTTCCCCAATGATTCTTCAAARCATTTTTATAATGGCGAGGCTTTCCTTTTGAGGTTTACGTCTACACGGGTTGTGATTTAACAACTTTTCTTCCAGATGTTGAGCCCGTTTAGCTAATGCCATTTAAACCACTGCTTTGTACTGAAAAGAAATGCAAACTTTAAAGGAAGTAAGCCCCCACTTGTATTTGAATCTGTTCTGTGCTCTCCATTTAGTCCTCCAAAGATCAATCTTTCTGTTTCTAGCAAACTGCATACTTCTGTGATTAGGATGTTTTATAAGGTAAATCCTATCAATTTTCCTTGAACCCTCAAAAACTATTCTTCTGTATAATCTTCAAAAATACTAGTTTGATCTAACTTACTAAAGAAATGAACAACCAGCCACACATGCTTATTACAATGGTTTAAAATCTTTATATTAATTTGGGAGAGCAATACTGTGAAGATATCAAGACTTTCCACCCAAGAACATGGCATGTGTCATTTATTGAGTTACATATGATAAAATGTTACATTTGATGAAATGTTCCTCAGACAGGTCTTGGAATTTTCTTGTTAAAATTATCCCTCCTGTTTTATGCATTACGACTACACAAAAGTCAGTGGCCTAGCAGGACTTCCAGATCATACCAGGTTGAGAAACCGTGATATAACTCAATTATAAAGAAGCAGTATCTTGAGTTTGGAGGGTGGCAGGAAGCCCCTCTTTGCCTCTTTTTCTTTTTCATTATTGTTTTTTAGTTGTAGTTGGATGCAATATCCTTATTTTCTTTATTTTTTTATGTGGTGGTGAGGAAGGAACTCAGAGCCTCACGCATGCGAGGCAAGTGCCCAAYCACTGAGCTAAAGGCCCGGCCCTTGGCCCCCTTTTCTATTACTCCTTAAATACAATCAAAAACCTCAAGAGTGGTCTTTTGAAAACTGCTCAAGCCGTACAGCCTGATCCTCACTGTAGATCCTGATTGTTTTCATTTCCCTGAACTGGAAAGTCCAATCCATCTCCCCTTCTGGACCCACCTGGCTGCAAACTTCCCGAATGGGGGGCACCCCTTTGAGAGCATYGTTGATCCTTTCGGTTCTCCCTTGACAGCTTGGCATTCAGGTGGCTTCCTACCCTCAGCTGATCAGTTGCCACTTACTAAACAGAACGTATGTGCTGAAGAGCCCTTCTCCTTTCACAGCTCCTGTCCTTCATGGCCCCAGTTACAGCTATGCTCTGTGGCCTTCTTCCCGGAGATGGCCAGGTCATGTCACTCTGCCCATTGCTGTCACAAATTCACTGAATAAAATRGCATCACTGAATAAAATAACCTGGACCCAGTAGAGAGTAGAAGAGATGACACTAGAGYGTAGGAAGGAAAGGGGGAGTAGGGATAGGGACAAGTTGGATAATGGGTCCCCATGTATACAACTAGATTGGGGAACTGGTTCCAGTGTTCCACAYCATAGCAGGGTAACCATAGTCTATAACAATTTATTATGCATTCCACAATAACTGGAGAAGAACTTGAAGGTTCCCAACAMATAGAAATGATAATGGTGGATGGAAATGCTAATTATCCTGATTTGATCATTATAGATTATATAATACGTGTCCCAAAATATAATATTGAATCCATAAATAAGTATGTTAATTGAAATTTTTAAACATTTAGGAATACTGATTTATCTTCTAGCATATGCTCAGAAGGAAATTTCTTAAAAATGTGATCATCTGGCCTTCTTTAATCATTCACCTCTTTTTATTGACAAGAAACATGACTGTCATAAAATTATTTGTTTTAAACCTAAGGTGCAGATTTTATTTACCATTTTTATGGCAAAGTAAAATAGGAGGATTTTGATTACTTTGAGAGTGAAAGTTCTGGAATGTGTCTTTCCAGATCCACGTCAGAAACACTGGGAAGACTAGTTTTCCTTGATCTCATGTAACATTCATTCACAGTCAATATATATTAAATTTTTGCCTCCTGGATATATGTGGGCAATTTATTAGAGTTTATATTTTGTAAAGACCAACTATTTGGTGTCATGTGTTTAATGACATTAAATATCAGGTTAATCAACAAATCTTCCCAACCTTTTCCTACAGGAAAGTTCTTTTCCACTAGAAAATTTTTCAAGGAAATCTGCCTATGTCATGAAATTAGAAACAAAAGCAATTTTAACTATTTTTTTTTTGTACTAAGGATTAAATCCTGAGGCACTATACCACTGAACACATTCCCAATTCATTTTAGTTTTTATTTTGAGACAGGCTTTCACTAAGTTGCTAAGGCTGGCCTCAAATTGGCCATTCTCCTGCCTCAGGCTCCCAAGCTGCTGGAATTTTAGGTGTGTCCCACCACATCTGGCAATAACCATACTTTATTTACATGAGGAATACCAATATTCTCCTAGAAAATTAAGTTTCTCTTATAACAATGTAATCATCATTGTCATCTGGAAAGCCAACTTTTCAATGTCCCCCTACATATGCATATCTCATAAAAATGGAATGTTTCTACCTGTTCTTTGACGGAGGCGAGGATGGCAGAGGTGGTTTCCGTTTCAGAGCCGTCCCCATTGGAGGTGTTTAAGCCAGGGCTCAGGGAGCTGGTCTTCTCAGAGGCTGACGAAGGCTGGTCTGGGACAGGCATAGCTCCTGCAATGCAAAGGACAGGCAGGCTCAGGAAACTGGACACAGTCACTCCAACGGACATACCCATCAGACGGCCCCAGAGCACAGGTGGGAATGAGGAAGCTTACACGCTGCAGGTGGAACACTGTGCGACTGTAGAGGAGGAAACACTAGGAGGAAACAGCACAGCCCCCACTTTATGTCCACCCCAAGCAAATCTGCAATGGCCCAACATGCCTTTGTGTTCTATCTCTGAAATCAGTGGGGGAAGAAAGGGCAGAGGGGGAAGAAACAAGCAAGAGTCTAAGGAAGGAAGAGAAAGGAGATGAAGAAACGATGAGTCTAAGAAGCTCCTGTAACTGCAAATTTATGTTTTAGGCAAATTTATTACTCTGTCCTATTGGTATATTTGCAACCCAAGTGTACCCATTGTAAGGAGATGATTCCATATAAATAGTCCATAATCACCAATAATAGAAATAACATAAAAAGCTTTGAGGGTATTGTGAAATCCAGTCAGTAACTAGTGGATCCCATAGACATGTACCTAGCCCTGACTCCAAAACAGAAAAGGACCATTTTCCACACTTTATTTTTATTTTATTTTCCCACTTTATTTATGGGGTGGGGAGAAGAAACTCAAATCACATTAACCCCAGTGCATAAAGGGATACACATGTGCAGGTTAAAAAGCAAGTTTTCTTTCTCACACAAATGAGACTGGTGTAGTCTGGATGGCCACAACGCCCTACCAGTTCACCTACTGATCTAACTCCCAAGGTTGGTGGGGTTGGGAGTTAGGGCCTTTGGAAAGTGATTAGTCATGGAAGGAGAGCTCTCATGAACAGGGTTTAGGCCTTTATACAAGATGCCTAGGAAGGACTCTTTGCCCCACCCGCCTTGAGAGAACACAGTGAGGGGCCCCAAGGATGAACCAGGAAACAGGCCCCTGCCAAGAACCCTCAAGGGCCTTCATCTTGGACTTAGTCCCAAGAAATGTGAGAAATAACACATTTTTTGTTTGTTTTATTTATTTATTTTTTTTTTTGGTACCAGAGTTTAAACCCAGGGGTGCTCAACCACTAAGCCATATCCTCAACCCTATTTATTTATTTTTTTTAATTTTGAGACAGGGTCTTGCCATGTTGCTGAGGTTGGCTGTGATCTTGTGATCCTCCTGTCTCAGCCTCCCAAGCCACTGGGATTACTGATAGGTGCCACCAGGCCAGGCAATAAGGTGCTTTTTAAGAGCAGACTGAAAGGACTAAGACAAACATATCATCTAGTAATGACCACCAACAGAGAAACCAATAATTAACTGAGGGCCAACATTACCAAGGCATTACAAAAAACCCATCTCAAGAAAAGGCTGGGAGTAAATAAGAGTCAATTTCATGCCTACACCTGCTACTGGTCCCTAGGGACCAGTGTGGCAAGATAGTAAAGCATATTCCCTGTTATACTATAACTAAGAATCATTTTGCACCAAGTGACAGATTTTTCAGGGTAGCCCTTTCCCTGTGTTACTAGCTACATTTATCTAATAACAGATCTATGCAAACCTTAAAAGCCCAATTACACAACTTTTCTTAAAACACAGAAGAAAAAAGTGCCATTCAATTTTTTTTTTAACTGAACCTTCCAACTCTCTTTTGATTTGCTTTTATATTTTGAATCAACTTACTATGATTTCACTACAGGAGATTAGAATAACATTGGAGAAATTAATCTTGGAGAGATTTTTAGTTACTAATATTAACAAAACAGAATTTGAGTAAAGAGTGCAGATCAGATCAAATACGATTTGGCAAAATGCAAACTTGCTTAAAATGTTCAAAATACTTGAGGGGATGGAAACTGACAGGAGGAAAGAAAGAGACTTAAGTCATTTTGGTGGTGGGGTTGGGAAGAGCACAGTAAAGAACATCTATGCATTTTCATTGTTTCTGATGTGTTTTTTTAGTTGATCAAATCTCATTACTATGTAGAACACAGATACATTAATACACACTGTGCCAGTTGAAGTAACTGAGACCCAGGATCTGTCACCTAAGAGAAGTTGGGAGATGGAGAGAGGTGCAAGGTGGAAATTCAGAAAGAAGGAAAATGGCAGCTCTGGGTGCTTGGTCAACTCCAGTTACCAAGATCCACCCGGAATATGATGTACTATGATGGCTTCCAGAGGGGACCCCACACAGGAGAGCTTTCTCTGAGAAGGGAATCTCACATTTTAAATTATTATTCTAATTTTTATGTTCTCTGAATTTCATTTGGCCCATGTTAATTCAGGTACTGAGCTAGTATTATTATTAACACATTTTCTGACAGAGAAAATGTCTGAGGTCTTAAATTTATTAAGAAACATAAGTGGTCTAGAACTCATGTTTTCTCCCCTTTCATTCCTGTTTTGGTGTTTTTTTTTTTAAATGTCTACTTCCTTTTGAACCTTTATGACCCCCTAAATGCTAGTCTACCACCTAAATTTTACAGAATATCACTCTTAAAAGAATGACAGTCATCTCTTATGATTAAATAGGGGATTTATTTTTTTTTTATTGTTGGTCGTTCAAAACATTACATAGTTCTTAATACATCATATTTCACAGTTTGATTCAAGTGGATTATGAACTCCCACTTTTACCCCGTTGGTTGTTCAAAACATTACATAGTTCTTGATATATCATATTTCACATTTTGATTCAAGCGGGTTATGAACTCCCATTTTACCCCGTATACAGCTTGCAGAATCACATCAGTTACACTTCATTGCTTTACATATTGATAAACTCATGTCTGTTGTATTCTGCTGCCTTTCCTATCCTCTAC